TATGGGGGTGGCGATAAGAATAACTAAGGTAGTATACCCTTTCTTATTTTCCGTTTCCTTCGTAGTTATATGATATATATTTAAACCCTGATTATCTATCCACTTCACCTTAAGTATAACATAACTTTTAAGATTTCACCTGATTTGTTTATTGAATTGTCTATATATGCACATAGTGCTACTTTCGTTATTCTTATCGCATTCAAAAGACTTAAAATTACTATTATTATTACTATAATTCGGTCCAAAACCTCATCGTCATTGTTTAGATGATTTATGTCTCAAGTCGCGCACTACTCTAAAATTACTGTGGAAATCAGCAGTAATTAGCACAAGAACTGAAATCCGAATTTTCAGCACTTATGTCAAATCAGCACTTGTGGATTATCCAGAGACTTGGTGCACCAAGAAAAGCATTTCCAACACACTACAGACTTCCATTAACTGCCACCTGTCCTCGATCGATACTGATGACCAGATAGCAAACCGGAAAGGATAATTGATAAAGAACTGTGGTGGTGAACCAGCAGGCAATAACAGACTGCCCAACAAAAATGCAGATAGAATTGAAAATGGAATGGAGATACGCTGAGGAGAAATCATAAGCCAGGCAGAAACCTGATAGGAAGTGATGGCTTGAGTATCTTTGGGCGACATAGAGGAAATCATGTGAGTAGGAAACGAAAGATTGTTCGTAGCTGTGTTTCCACCTGAAAATCACAACACCGAACCGAGTGTAATGAAGATATGCTGGTGAAGATCTATATTCTATTCAGAACTCAAGGAATGATTAGTGAAAATAATGATAAATATTAATGTAGCAACAAATCAAATAACGTTGGCTGATATCCTTCTATGCTTGTCTTCCCGAAAAATTCTTTTATCGGTACAGCCCCACTTCATTTACGTTAACAGTGACAATTAAGTCGAACCAAACCAGAGTTTTACAACTGGTAAGAAATGCAAAACAATGCATTGTATATTGTAAATCATGTGAAATTGAGAATATCAAATCTAGTCCACTGCGAGAATCATATGCTGAGTGCAGATAGTGGTCACTGTTAAACATTTATGAAAGTCTTCATCTGTAATGAAAACATGTCAGTCAATTTTTAATATTATCCATGTTGTTCACTTTTTGATAATCACCTTCAAAAACAAAAAGTTATTCAATATTTTCTAACTGTTAATCAACATGGGAGTAATGACGATGAAAACAACCAAAAGAATAGGTGAATTTTACACCACTCTGGTTATTTGTACACTGTTTATATAGTGTAAAGCGCGTCACAGAAAAATTACAGAATACCAGTGAATTTATCAAAATTACACTATTGTGACATGTTTTTTGTATACAGTTGAAATATTTTTTATTAACTTAATACTTAATTTCTACCTTTTTATTTTAGGGTGAGAAGAAAACCATCTTTCTAGGTATGAGAAAAGTATTTGTATACGTGACACTATTTCGCTGTGTTTCACGATTTCAACTCAACAATGAACAGATTAATATGCTGACTGAGCTATAGTGCATTTTACACCTTGTTTTTTTAGGTATCTTACCTGGTTCCACCATTTGATATATTTAGTGTCATCACTGTGACTTTATTTTACTAGCCTCTAAATCTCTGGAATCAACTGCACATAAACGGGATCATTATTATTTATCCTGTTGACACTGTCTCTTTAGTGGTATCTACCTTAATCAAGTTCTCTGTGTTAGCATATTTTTACTTTCACATGCCACTGATTTGCATATTCCACTACTATTCGTATTCTTTTTTGTGAACTTATTGTAGCTTAGGTAAGAGCGTGAAGTACAATGAATTTATTTTGATTTGGAAATACTGTCCTTCTTATGTTGATCAAAATATCCCAGGCAAAGTAGTTTTTTAAGATTTGTTTTTAAAGATGTTAATTTATGATTGACATTCAGTGCTGCAGGACCATGGTTAGACTTAAGACATACAATTTATCAGCCAATTATTTCTGTTCTTATTGTAGTTATTCTTGTTGCTAATGCCATTCTCCTTTTTCAACTACACTCACTGGTGTTCGTTATAAAAAAGGGAGGAAAATAACGAAGGTGTATAATATAACACTTTTTGGTGTTATCTTAAAATATCAAAACTGCTACAAAAAGATTGGCAGTTTGAACTTGGTTGATACACTTATTCAGGTTGTTAAAATATTGTTACTGAAATAAAGGAATATCTTTTTAGATAAATTATGGAGATACACTGCATGGATTAAAATACTTGAACATCGCCTTATGAATTCAGTTTTGTTTTGGTATCCACAATTTTCTTGACCAGTTTGCATAATTCTTTCTCTTTCATATCTTTTGTTATTCAGTCTAGCTTCAATTACTTGATTGTTCTATATTTTACGGCCTTTTTGTTATTGTTTCTTTGAAAGTTCCATCTTACCTGATGTCATCAAAATATCCACAACTTCAACTCAATGCAAAGCAATTTGTTATACTGTTATTTGTAAAGATCTGTTATTTACACTGAACTCCACCTTTCTAAATATTTATTGCTGAATAGAATTATGATTTTTACTCTAACAGAGGTCAAGAAGTAAAGCGTGCGCTTTTTATTCCATAAATCTCACTTCCACAAAATCTAACGTGAGGCAACAAAACTTTCAAACTTTAAAAAGCTGTATTAAATACTAACCTAATATTCATTTTTTAACAGATAACAAGAGTATCACCCTAGTTCACGAATAAAGTTGCACCTCATACTTATGCCCATAAGTGTGAAGATTATCAGCCTAAGTCCTTAGTGTTAGTTAATTTTTCCTAAAACATCTTTGTTATTCCAGTGAAGGGTCAGTTAATATTTTGCTACCATGGCGATAGAAGTTAACAGAAAACCTTCAACAACTGTAGTAAAGTAGCAAAAAGTTACTGCATATTATCAATTTTACGAAAGATTTATGTAAATGATCGAACCAAGAACCTGAACACATTTAATGCCAGCTTGAGACTATTCAGCGACATATGAAACAATGATACATTGTCTAAAGCGTTGTCAATTGAAAAGTGACATCATTTTTAGTGAAATTTGACTTACTTCTAAGAAGTCTCCTAATCTAAGTAAATCACTTCCAAAGTATTTATCTCAAAAACTACTTGTCAGGATGCTCAAAAGATCATTTTCCTAAATACTTCTTTTCAAAACGTTTACCAAATGATTTAATATACATAAAGTGTTCGTTATATTTGTTTTTATACTGAAAGGCATTTTACCTTCTTATGAAAACGAGCTCTCGGATTCTAGATGATAGACTGGTCAAGCTGATTTATCTACGGTGATCATAAGAATATTTGCCTTCTTTCTGATAAAACTGGACAGAAAAAAGTCTATCCAAGTCAGAAAAGACGATCCTGGACACTTTTCCTCAATAAGTTGTAACAGTTACAGAGTATTATCCATTGCTGATATTCTTTCATCTTCTACTTTACTTTCATCGTCTTTCGATGTTTGCAAGAGAATTTTAAATCAACTTACAGTGAATTAGATTTGTGTCCATTGTTGGATTCATTTAGGAGGTTGGCGGATAAGGCGGCATCCCTTCTTATGTCAGACGTTATACTGGGTACGAATAGATGGTCGTTTGATAGAAATTTCAGTAGACAGTCATCGTTGTCACCTCATTGACATGAGTCACTAATGGACACCCCAGTGTTTTTTTCCTGTCTGGGTCAGCTTGCCAACTTAAGCAATAAAATCACATGCCTAAATGAGAATATCTGAGCCTTTTGATTCTAGACGCCTTTTTTACAGTTTTTGAACTGCGATCAGTTAGTGAGACATATTTTCTAAATGAATTTCCTCTGCGAAAGTTTAAAACTCTAATATGAAGGTACTGGCACTGGTGTTTCTCCGACTAAAGATGGTGGAGACTGCTACACATTTAGGAACAGATGAAGAGATTTTCTAGGAAATAGCATTAACAGTGGGAGGAGAAGAAATTTGATGAAAACAAAAAGACAGACAGTAAGTGTTTGAAAGACCGAATTTGTGTATTGATGAAAGTTCGTGGGAGGTTTTTAATTCCTTGCTGCCATGCTCTGAGCATTGATTTCTTGCTGTAGTACTTGGAAGAGAAAACTGAATTGGTTTTATGAGACCACCGAACTCTTGGAACAGCTTATTGAGGTTAATAACATGGCACTTATTTAGAGATAATGGAGTTTACAGAATTTTAATCGTAATGAATGCCTTACTGTATAGTACAGACTGTAGTTGGTTAAGTCAGGATGCATGATCCACTGTTGACAAGCTTTGGTGAATTCTCCTATTCAGAGTAAGAAGTCAGAATAGTTGGATTGCTGGTCTTTTTCATTTTTTTCATTCCTCGCGTTCAAAGTGTAACACAGGCTTAAAGATTAAGGCTTTATTGCTTCAGTGGTGGTGGTTTTGTTTTTATGAATTTAGACTGATAAGCTGACTCTGAACCCACCCTTCTTTCCAGGAATCCTGTTTGCTAGACAAGGCTTGAAACTGTATCGGGAAGAACGGGACCCAGAACTCCCATGTGGCTGGTTTCCAGTCAACCAGTTAACGACCGACACACGATCATCCTAGATAAACAGTTTATTGTTGCCCCATCCCTCTTTCCTATCAGTAAACCTTATCACAAAGGTCTCCACCACAGTGTGATCAAACAATATGGCAATGGTAACTACTTACAATCTAACTCTTACCTAACCAACCTTTCTGACAGTTAAGACCTCCAAGAACATTCGTTCTAGCCAAATTACCACCTTTTGTCATTACAATAAGTAGGCGTGAATCATCTTTTCTCCTGTTTCATCCGAAAAATAATCTCAATCTGATGAAGAGTCCCAAACTAGGACGAAACAGCTGTCGAGTACTCTCAGGTTTTCCAATGGTTCTCTAACCAATGTCAGCTCATGATGAAATCCTGTAATCTCAATCTGATAATCAAAATTTTTAAGAAATACTCAATAGTTTGATGATATCTACTATTTTTATTTATTTTGTGATGAAAGATAGATAACTCTTCAAATCCTTAAGTGATAAGACACTTTAATAAGTAAATTTCTCAAGAGTTGTTTTTTACTGAGAAAACTTTTATTTATTTTCTCTTCTGAGTCTGTCCTCTGTACTTTTGTTTGTATTGACTTTAACACATAATTTATGAGTTTGCGTAACTAAGAAAATATATCAGAATAAAGTTGAAATCATAACAAAATAAATAAAACATGGTTGTGAATTGAAAAAAATAATAGTATCAGTGGGCAGGATTTCAAGACTCAGAATACCATGTCTGTCTATTTATTAACATAGTTTAACAACAATCAGTTTCTTGATGTTTGTGAATTGTCGGATATCCAATAGGCTCTGGTGCAACTTGATTAATACTTAGGCACGGATCGTCACCTGGATAAACTGATGCGTTCTGAATGAAATCTTCTCTGGTTTCACCTAACAACTTCGGTGGACCAGTTATAACACTGTCGGATATTGGTGGTGGAAGTGGTGGTCTACCTCCACCTAGATACCATGAACGATTATCATCACCAATATATGCGTACGATGGTGCTGCACGAAATATTGACTCTGGGAGATTTGTACGTGCGGTCACAGGCAGTGAAGGTTTAACCTCATGCTTAAAAGAATAAGTAAACCAAAACATAAGTCAATATTTATTATTTAAAATAATATGACATATATATAGTAGCTTCTGATGCAATTCCATAAAATAAACACCCGAAAACAAAACGACAGTGGTTAACGTATTAGAGGCATGATCAATGGTCATACATGTCAAGTGTACGAACGGTTTTATTGCAGCATTGAATGTATATAAATACGAATGGAACATTAATTAATGACATGGATGTACATAAAAAGTGTCCTGAGATCAAGTTAAAGGTTTGTTGGTATCATTCGTTAAACATACTTAATTTGTTTTTCTACTGAAAACATTATTATTAATTAACAAAATTAGGTAATTAGTTGAAGTGATTTGATGAGCAGTACTGCAGTTCACACTACATAAATTATATCTGGTAAGGAGTTAAATTTCCAGAAATAATTTGCGGTCAGTGCCGACTGATATCTTAATGTAGAGCATGCGCACTGCAGTGACCCCAGCGGTTACAAGATTTTTGCCATTGGCCTTGTCACGTCAGAAAAAACAGTTGTATAGCGATAAGACAAAAAGCAGTTAACGTCAAAAAGCAAGTTGGCTGAAATATAATGGTAAAGTCCGTTGGTGATAGGATTGTATAGCCTCATGTGTACAGAGGTCATCTAAGTAAATGAGAAGACACTGCTCTGCTATGTAGTTCATCCGGATTCGGGTCATTCATTACAAAAGTCAGAGACCATACCAATAAATGATTCAGTTCATCAGCAACTTTTCGCATTACATACGCGACTGACGAAGAAAAAGAAATTTGGAAATCGTATGTCACATTATGTTACCATAATGAGACTAGTTCGCATTCATTCCTCGACAGCAGCAACCTTAGGCTTCAACAGCTTGATGGCAAAAGCTCAGCGGCTTCATGGGCTGCTGCAGGTTTTGCTTAGAGAAATGACATTAAAAATAAGATTTGTAGTTCAGGTGAATGTTTACGATACTGTTGAGTTCTTGCAGCCGGCTGGTTTAACTGTGAAGCCTTTCGCTGTTCTTGCAGGTTAAAAATAGAGGTTAGAACAGTTGTCCAACATCAGTGATTCACCAGAACACAGCAGGTATTTAGCTGGGCCCAGACTGAAAGACCTCATCATGGAAAGCAAGCTAGTAAAGAACTCATATATTTCTAAGAATCTGTGAGCATTAAACATTACAGCAAGATGAACAGCGTGTCCATTGATTATATCTTTTTTCCCCATAACAACTTCCAAAACATGTAATGGAAATGCTGCATCAATTCCAAGCATGTGAAAAATTGTACTACAGAAAAACAGGCAGCAGTAGAAATGTGTAAGGTAAGTTGAAATGTTGAGTGGCTACCGAGACTGACACAGTATAGAATTCTGCACAAAGGTATATGACTTCAAATTATCACTAATGAAAAAGCGCCTAAAAGAAATCGAACGAAATGTAAGGAGTTTAGATTCAAAGAATGTTTAAAAACTGCACGAAGATGACAAGGTATGAGCATTTCTGCATCATGGTGAACGGTTTTAAAGTATGTCAGAAATAACCTCAAACCACTCGTCTGGTCATTCTACACCTGCTTACATGGCGCAGACTACGGGTCAAAGATTTCACTGGCTTGTATCGTGATTTGGTCTGACTATGTCCACCTGTTTTCCAACTTTGACTGGCATTAATTATCCACGAAGGCGGCTATCTGCCTTGTGTAGAAAATGTCCTAGGCAATCTAATCTCATCAAATAAGACAAAGTGATCTCTGACATAAGGTCAAGAATTAAGGCTTGTACTATCATTATTCGAGAACCTGTTAAACAATGGAAACTTAATGCATCTTTGTGCATGTATTAAGTCTACCTGATTTACTTTAGTTTGTTTTAACCGAACCCCATTTATTCTTCGTTCCGTGCCAGGTAAATTTAACCACACATGTAAGTAAGTATACTGTACAACAATATTCAATTTCTGCTTCTAAATCAATACAAAACGAAGTCTACCTACACAATATCAAAACAATTTCATGAGATATTCCTGAACTACTTACTAGTAGATAGTTGAACAAAGACTGAATTCTACTTCTACAGGCTAGTCTATGCATAGTGGGAGTGTTTCCAAATACAATGTTTTCCTTTTACAAATGCAACTGGGATGCACACCTACTTTTTAACGCTGTCAAAACTGTTAGATCTCCTGATTTTCAGTGAATCTGCATCATTTTGTTCCCTCATATGTGCGCCTCCAGTTAGTCAGAAAAGAAACAGTTTTTTCAACTTCAGCTTATTTGAACTTTTGACAGCAAAGTCGCTAATTTCATTTTCGAGCTTCAGTGATAGTAAATATTAAGCTGAAATGCCTTTTCTAGAAGGCAGACTGATTCATTTCAGTTTTGCTGCCCATCATTCAAGCTCGTTTAAGTTTGTAATAAATAAGCTCACATCTTATATTGATAAAAGGATAGAACTTGGGCATTGTGGTAGAATATAAATCCATTTTTATAGAATTTGTTTTGATTAAGTTTCACAGTGTTATACAGTAATATTTACTGATTATGTTTCGAGCACAACTGATTGCCCATAATCATACCAAGGCACCCACAACTTTGTGTAATTTACGTAATTTACATGTAATATTTTGTTAATTTTTTAAAATGATCTAATTAAAAATCGGTTGAAGGCAATTTTTAGCTTTTAAGGTCTATAATCATTAAGTAAGTCAACAGTTAACATAATTTTGATAGATGACAAATAATAATCAAAGCACTGGAGACAGACTTCGTAAAATCATGCCACTGGTTGAGTCTAACAAACAGAAGATTGCAAAACAAGAGTCATTCACGTTCAATTCCATAAAATTCAATAGAAATAACGACAGTTGATACTAGATGGCTGAAGCTTATCAGCTAGACTACTTTTCGGGCTTATTAGTCCCTCTCATTAGGAAGTATCTGCAACCTAGGATGAGGAAAGACCCTGCCACAGATTCTATGCAAATGAATCCAACAGTGCAATTAAATTTGTCACCACAGAGTTGATAGAGGTTAACTGGTTTCACAGAGGACTGTTATGAATATAATTATTGGTCCAAACACTTTTCTAACTGTCACCAAGTATCTTAAATTAATCCCAAATACATCATGATAAGTAATCTCCCAGCTTACCTTATTGCAAACTTGACGAACAGAACTGATTTGTCACTGAGGTCTAGGTAAAATGACGTTAGTGACCAACCATCAAATAGCATGATATTGTAATTTTACTACCAGCTTTCAAACTTGATATCTAGACTATTTCAAGGTAAACTGAACTGATAATCAAAAGCAAACTCTGCTTTGTAACAAAAACTTCATGATCGATATTTCGGCTCTGAACATATCAGGGTCACATTGTTACACATTGTCACCAACCATTCAAACAAACAAAATTCGGATCATTACACGTTGAATATATAATTAACAAATAAACAATTCTGCTTAATTTCAGGCTCTTACATTTTTTATAGCTAACTGCTCACTGATAGGCCCGTAAAGTGTTTCGCGTCCGGGGAAGGATTGAGTATACAGGCCACCAAATGGTGCATACATCTGATGTCCACCACTTGCAAGTTCTCTGCTAACATACATACTAACCTACACATATGTACATGTAAACATGAATGATTAGTAATAGTAGAAAAATAGATCATTACAGTAGACAATATGTGTAATGCTTTCATTTTATCGCTTTCATAAATGAATGCTTTCAATATGTATTCAATTCCTTCTGTTGTTTCATGATCAATCAGTGTGCTAAAATAACGATAAAGAAAAAAAAAGAAATAACCCGAATTGTATACCTACATATATATATATATACCAACAAAAATGATTTATATCCTAAAGATAGTAGTCACGATGAAAGGACACGAATTGAAGAACCGTTTAAATAGTGATGTATAATTATTTTCATCCTCAGACAAACTATCAAGTGCTTTGTGTTAATTATATCGCAATCAAATGAAAATAACGGGAGTAATTAAATTTGTTCACAGATAAAAAACTGGTCAGATGACAGAGTGGCGTGAAACAGTCGTTCTAATAGTCCTTCATTACATGTCATTTCACCATTGGAAATATATCGCTATCAGTATGGATTAAACTCAAAATATTACTTACTGCTTAACACAATCCAGTGCAAATATTCTATCGTGATTAGTTAGCTGCATAACCTTTAGTATTTCAGCTGCTTCAGCACATGTCATGCGACACAATCTCTGAAAATTCAACAAAATATACATTTCATATTAAAAAAATAACAATGAAAATATTGAGCAGAAAATGTAATTATTGCTAATGTTCATGTGGCATTAACATGCTTCGAATGATACAACAAGTAGTGAACAAGAATTTCTTCCTTGTTAATTATTTAGCGTTCGAGATTCAATGAGGAATAAACACCCTATAGTTCACCCACTAGAAACAAATTTTAGTATGAAAGGTGACTACCATGCAATGGCACCGATAAGCACCGACCATAATCATCACCTATACGACACTTCTGGTTAGAAATCAGTTACTGAATAATAGATAATATATTTATAAATATAAAAATGTGAGAAATATGATTCACAGATTCCTATTAGGCAACTTTCAACATCTAAAACCAAAATGGCATATATTATAGTCTTGTATCACTTAGTCTAATCCACCGATAGTGGTCACCACTAGAAATCAATGATTAATCCTTACACCTTAAACAACTCTACCACTACATAGTATGATCACCACATCAATAAGAATAGGATCACCAGTTAATCTTTTTATAGAACAGTTGAATATCTCAGTTTTCAGTTTTGCTATGATTAAATGCTAATTGCAAAAAGACACCCAGCACTGGGAACTTTTTCATTAGTAATGTTTCTTTCCAATGAGGAGAGTGATTACGCGATTTCATTACAATCAAAACTTCTATCAATTCAATTTCACATTGCTTAAGGAATACATCTTTACTTCATATTCAAGAAATAATTTATCGTTGAGAGGAAGAAAATGAACTTACTTTTTTTAAAGCTTTTATCACTTGAACTCTTTCTGGAGCTGTTTTGTAACAGGCTAAAATTGCAGCTGCCTAAAATTATTTTGTAAAAGAATGAATTAGATATAAGGGTTAGGAAGAAATACTGTTTGACAAATAAGTGGGTAAATTTACTGATAAGATACGCTTAGTTGTTATGAATATCTAATATCATCAGATCAATGTACGCAGTAATGGCGAGCTACCTAGAATGGTGGCCACATTGCAAACCTGACTGATAGAATTCAGTCTGCATCGAAGAAAGGACTAGACACGTCACACTAGTTACTAGTGCCAAATCAAAATATCCACTGCAGTCCTACAGGAGGTCAATCGCGAGCCCGAATAGCTCAGTGGTAACGTCTCTGACTACATCAGTGGGTGATGCGGGTTCGAATCTCAGAAGGGACATGGGTTCCTTCAAATTTGTAGATATGCCTTACTGACGAGTGCCAACTAGCGCGAAACCTAGGTCCAAGGCTTCTTCCCGATTGCCTCCAACTATCTTATATCATCAAATTTATTCCATATGATATCAGTTGATTTGATTATGAACAATAAATTTTATTCGAAACGTCATGCAGTAAATAATACTGTTTCACTGTGTGATACATCTAATAAACAAACTAATATGGAATTACTAACTACCACAGTGTCCAAGTTTTACACATATATTAATCATCAAATAAATTAGAAATAATTAGGCTTGTTATGCAGTCAGTTTCACTCACAAATGTTTGGTTACGGTAGACACAACAGAAACTTTTGTTAGATGAAGTGAATTCAATAACTGTATGGAGAACTCAATACAAAGGTGTTAATGAAGTTTATGTGATAATCAACCACCAGATAGTTGAAATAAGATTGGAAGTATGAATTATATCAGTGGTGAATATCAAAGCATCTAAAGTCTAAAAACTTACACTTTAAATTAGGTCAATTTCCTCCTAGGAATTTATAGAGAACCAGGGTATTAGCAGAAATTCAGAGAACACTAGCAAGTATGCACTGGTGAAGATGGATAAAAAAAACCTTTACTTTTCGCTCCTACAAATGAAACAAAACACGCCTATAGAGATTCCATCTTTATGCCTAACCATGGCGATGAAGGTGATATTCTACTCCGGATATTTGTACCTATGCAATAGTAGCTGTCAGACGTTTACGCCGAAACCCAAAGACCATGTTCATAATTTTAGCTCATCCTTATATGTATGCTGACCTTATTGTTCTTGCTGAAACAAGTAAGGTATAAAAGAGAGACAACTGGTATTGGAATGAAATTCATGAAATACTGCTTCCCAGTACACTTAATAGATACTGAGAATAATGTAGACGCTAATACAGCCTTCTTCATTCAAATATTTTGTCAAGTTTCTCCACAATTACAGACTAACACTAACAAGCCACTTCAATTTAATAATACTTTTGTTATTTTTTTATTTGATTCTACTACATACTGACTTCTTCCCTGTAAAATCCTCACTAAAGTATTAGTATCTTCCCTATAATGCACACTCATTTTATGTCACATACCCTTAATTTTGCCTAATCTTGAAATAACTACATTTCTCAGGCCGCTGTAGCTAGGACCAGAATAAAGCACTGATTGCTTCAGCAATTAAATTGAAGGCGAATTCGTTTAGACAACCTTTGATGTCTGACCTTATGTGACCGTTCAAATTAGTCATTTGCTGTCTTGACTTTCCCAGTATTTTTGAAGTATTTGTAAAGTATTTTCGTTTGATAAGGTGCATCGTTTTCACCAGAAGTCTGCCTCCTGCTTTCTTTTTTGTGTGCTCGAGGGAATTCGGTCTTCATCAGAGTTTATGTCGCATTTCTGAATAGAACCCAAATCTCATTTCTCAAACTAAGCAATCAAGTTTTCTTCCCCAAATTATATTTGTTATGACTAATCATCGTCATCCATTCCACACTATTGCATTCATTCCACCAAGTTTATCTAGTTATCTCACAACTTGAAACTAATTTGATGTTAAATTATTCGCTGCACACCTGGCAATCATTGTAATGATAATGAGTTTCATTTAATAGGTGTAGGAACCTGAATAAAATTTATGGGGAGGAGTCATCTTCGTCAAATATGTACACTGACATACTATAAATGGACCGAAACCTGTTAAGACTCAAGGTTGCTCACTCTCTCGCTGTCTATTGCGTGAATTGGTCTATCTGATGTTAGTTGACATGATTAAATATAGCTTACTGTTTATGAAACAGCTTCCTGATCCTAAGTGTTAACAAGTAACCAGGACTAAGAAATACCAAACTAAAATCAGGTCCCATATGCTAACAGAAACGGCGCATTAGGCTGTTATGATCTATTAAGATGATGACAGTGCAACTAGACTGGTCTCAGCGTACAAAAATCTAAAATTATCCTCATCATGGATAAACAATCTCCTTTACATAAATCCAACTTATTATTCAAGGAGTATGCGCTAGCTGAAAAAACACTAGTTACATTGTGTACATAAGTTAGGCATGTTGGTTTGTTAGGGCATTTACAAACTTTCCAATCTCACTCGAAATTTATCCTTAGCTATACAGTTTTCCAACCATCGAAAGTGCATCAACTAAAAAGTCTGAAAACTCTTTCAGATAAGCGTAAATTTAATACATACATATATATTGTTACTAAAATAAAAAACGCATAACTATTGAAGTCCTCAGAGATTACCTGTACCCCAGTAAAATATCCTTTAGAGTAATACAATTTATCAAATTTATCTGCGATACTTGTTGTTTCTGATATAAGTGCTCTTCTTAGACGCTCGAATTCCGAATCACTTAATGGAGTTTTTGCCATGTTATCTCTGCAGGGTAAATCCTCTGGGGTACCTGTAAAGTGAAAGCGAAACACTCCAGTTTTATCACACCTAACTGAAAGGAAGGTAAGTCTTCATTACCATAGTATGTTTATAAATTTACAGATGTCAGCACAAATAACAAGTTACAAATCTTTAAGACCAATATAAATCAAGTCAGTAACGCAATCTGATTCATAAAATTTGTACTTGTCATGAAAACCATTTCCAACAAGCTACATACTTCCATTAGTGGATCCCTTCGTTGATTCGGTACTAAAGATCATGTAGCCGGTCGGTAAAGGCAGACAACAATGAACTGTGGCAGGTAGGTAAAATGAAAGGAACCAATCACCTGAAGCGTATGGAAACGAAAACGGAGATGCATCGAACACATCTTAAGGAGACCTTCAAATAACATCACACGCTAAGCCTTCGAATGAAACCTGGATTGTAAATGAGTAGACTCCGAGGTTACAAAAGGAGAATACTATTAGAACAGGGAATGGGAGTTTGTGAGGTATCCGCAGATGTTGTTAGAGAACCGAGTATAATAGACATGTGCCAATGGCTTTCTATGTTTCATTTGGAATTCAAGGAATGAACAGTGATAATAATAACAGTCTGAATGTTTCTCATGTTTCCTTTATTCACTGTCACATGATTCAGCAATGCATGCGAAAACAATGAATTTTTATTTAACAACAATTTTCAAGTTTGTTGTAACTGGCCATTGACCATACCTTTTGTGCAAGGGCTGGTGATAACCTATGGGAGCCCAAACCTTTATGGATGCAGCTGGATCCGAACCTGAGACAAACTGTCTGGAATTTGAGCTCCTAAACCAATCAGCCACATATACACTAGCTGCATTTGAAAGTAGACAGTGATTATGAAGCAGTAAACATGCATCAAGGCTTTGAAACGTAAAACTACATCCAACTTAAAAGTGCTACAAACTGAAAGTAGTTCTTAAGTGACATATAACTGAGTGAATGTGTTGGAATTAGGACCTTAAACTATGGAATTTACGCTGCGTTTGACTTCTTGTATAACACGAAATTCACTGTAAGAAGCAATGATCAGGCGAATTAAAAGCATCTGTTTTACAATTTTATGCAAGCACTCTACTATTACAACGACGCTTTTATGTGTGTAAACGTAGCTTATTTTATCTTAGAGAACGGTGATTTTTCACCCTAATTAACTGCTTAATTTAAAAGCAGCTAGTGAACTACAAATCTATGCCGGATAACTTGTACTGTCTTAATGATAATTTGCATGAATGAATGTATGAAGTATAGATGTGAAAATAGGAACGTAAGCTCCTTCCTGCCTAAAACTTATCATTGAATTGCAAACGATAATTTAATTAATGATAAAGGCGATTCATCCACTCATTGGCTGATAGTTCAGTTTTATTTTGAAAATTGAGTTTCTAAAGCCTGTGAAGAGCCGTTTCTTACCCAAATGACTGTAAATATGTATAAGATTTTCATGGAACATGATTTATTTATTCATTCAAGGACCCTGAAGATTTTAACCGATAAGCAAAAGGTGGGAAATTACTTTCTTGACCATGCGGAAATAAAGAGGAAAATGAAACGTAAACATGTTGATAAATTCTTAGATTTTATCTTAAGAACAGAAATGTAATACAAAAAACTCTATGGAAGATGAAGTAATACAATCTGGTAAAGACTAAGTACGATTCGTGTCATAATGAAGATAAGGAGCAAAGTGAGAAGCTGTGATACATAATAGCATTTTTGAGTCAGATGAAAACAATACAGCTGTTTCGTTTTCAAGCCGACATCTCCTATGCCATAGTATATGCGGTATGCACCTGCAAGTTCCATCTAACTTCAGTAATTGTACTTGGAATTCTCCACTTTTATAAGTATCATATCTTTCCATTACTGAGGTGACCCTGTTAAGTGATCAGCATGACCCAATGAACTGAATAATTAAGGCTCACAACCATTTGAACTGCAAGCCTCTACATTTTCGATGCTTATGTGAGTCCTTCGTTTTACAAAAACACGTATTTATGAGCTAAATGTGCTGACTGGTCTTCCTATCACACTCAAGTGGTTTACTTATTTACTCATTTAATGCACCTGGTGATATTACCAGAGGGTAGAAATCTATAAATAAACACCGATTACCCTTGTTCAGATAAAGCTGTCAGGATGACCACGAAACGAGCGGTGCCACGAAATGGTGTTAAGTTTTGAAAACATTTCCGTTTTTTAAATGTTTAGTGAAAACTCCGAAACTTCAGTATTATTTATATTATTAATAAAAGCGCATCTGTCAAAACTTTGGGTTTAATATATAAAGTGAAACATGATGACCTGAAGCTGAGGCATTTTCTGTAGAGGACTCGACATTTGCTCAAAAGTCTCTACTTTTAAATTGAATGATAGCGAACTTTGTAAAGGGAGTGAATTTCACACGCTTTTGTCTAATTTTGGCTTTTGTTGTGTTATACGCTCCAAAAGTCTATAGATTAAGTTTAAATCAGTTTTTTTCTGATCGAATTTAGTTTACGTTTCACTTTTGAGTCTATTTAATTATAGGAAGTTGTATTCTTATAACCCATTTTTGTGCACTCATTGGTTTTTTATCACTGATTTATAAAGGTCACATACATAAAGTCATATTTGAATGTTTTTTGCCTTAATTCGTTCTAAATTGCATGCCAATCTAAAGGAACCGCTGCGGAAGGGTTATGTGCCGATTTCCAGTGGATGAGGGAATGCAGTGTGATAACTGCAAGAGATGGTTTCATAGCATGTGCACAAACCTAACTCCTGCAGCATAGAAGCGCTGCTGAAAACTTCTGGCGAACTGGCTGTGCAATGACTGCTGTAGTACGACTACGTTTCGTGTAAAGGAAGCCATTGCCACTCTCAGTGGGGATCTACAGCTCATGGACTGCAAGGGTCTTCCACCACAGGAGAAGAGTAACTACTGCTCAGACACCGCTGACGTGACTAGTGTCATCGACAAAACAAAACACTTTCCTGATGCTTCTCTGTCAATGAGTGAGTGCCCTTCAGCACAGAAGAGCAGGCCCCATATTCCATACACCCATGCTGCCCCCACGACACCGGATAATCCATTCAGTGACAGTAATGGAAAGAGTGGCACGAAAAAGAGGCGTACCAAGGGTCGAAAACCTGCAGCTCAATTCACCCAGGGATTGGTAGACCAAGCCTCGTCCACACCGGCGGATATCAGGCAGATAAAATCGACTACTGTTAGCGAGGAGGATGCCAATGGCGTTAATGTAGTCTCTCGCAAAAAGCGAGATAAGGAAAAGACATCGGCCACACTGCCCACGAAGGACAGAAAGATATTTACGCCACAGAGTAAGAAAGCCACGGCTGGCGAACGTGATCTCTGTGACAGGTCGCTTATTATCTACAAACTGGATGAATCACCAACCTCCGATCCAAAGGTCAGGTTTGAGCATGACCTTAACTTGGCCAAGCCCTCTTTAGATAAGCTACTGCCAAAAACAGTATCAGGCATTACAATGCACAGCATATAAAGAATCGGACAAAAGCCTTACCCTACAGTAAATCAGACTGTACGCTTCTTCAAAGTTGTACTAAACTTCAAAGAAGAGAGGGATGTCATTCTAAGCAACTCTCAAATTCTTAAAGGATCAGGCATATATGTCCTTGCTGGCTTATACCTAGCAGACCATGTCAAAAGACAGTCTGCGGCCCTAGAATTAAGCGAACGACGCCGAAACAGCGAAAAGAACCTTAAGATTAGGGGTTTTCGGGTTCCCAAAGTTCGAAGTTTGATGATCCCAAAACCTCTGTGGGTAGGCCGTGGAAGCACCAAACTGAATTGACAGTTTGCTCCACAAACGCCCGCAGCCTGTTGAACAGACGGACTAAGCAGGGTAATATGATAGACTCCGGAAATCCGGATGTAATTATCATCACAGAGACATGGACCACACCCGATGTCACTGACAACGAAGTTAACCTGTCAAGCTTCGGAGTGCATAGGGTGGACCAACTATACCGCAAAGGAGGTGGCGCAGTCATCTACCTCAAGAAATACTTAACCGTGCGTAGCATCGAAGCACTCGCTCACGAAAGTGAATCGTGCGAACTTCTACGCTGCAGACGTAAATGCATAGGTCAAGATATATACTGCTGTCGTGATTGCAGTGCAGATGACTTTCTAATGGAGAAGCTAAGCTCCCGGACATAGAAATGTCGAAGTCTCGTAGTCAGCAACTTCAACGCCACAACAGTTGAGCGGATAAGCCTTACAATACCATCTTCAGACAACTCCTATGATCATGAATTGATGGAGCCTAGTATATCGCTAGCCTTAGTGCAACATGTCATCAAGCCCACGCGTTATTTTTCACAGCACTCCTTTTCAACTCTGGACCTACTGTTCTCCCATGGTGAGGGTGTGGGTCTCATACAACATATTCCTCCTTTAGGAAGAAGTGATCAAGCTGTGCTCACTTTCAAGTTCACAGCAAAAGCAGCAAGGGCCAAAACTCCAGCTCAACTAAACTTTTGGAAAGCTGATATAAATGCGATCGTCTCAGCAGCCAACTCAGTGAACTGGTACATCAATCCAGAGTCCCAAGTAGAAGCCACATGGAACCAAGTAACTGAACCTTTCATCCCTTAGCGTGTCCCAGAGGGTCAGAAACATTGCCGTCCTCTGATAAAACAAGGGATTCATAAGTTACTCAGACATAAATACAACTGTTGGAACCTGCTTACCACACTTGAGACTAATTAGACCAGGAATTTATATAACACCGCTAGGAATTAAGCTACTGCAGAAACCCGCCAATCAAGGATGGAGTTCGAAGCACATCTGGCTCAAAATGCAAAGGTGCAACCTAAGAAAATTTTCTTGTACATGAACTTCAGGAATAAAATATCTAATGGTGTCCCAAACCTGACAATTGACAATGACCCAGTCGAAGAAGATCAAGAAAAAGTAGAAGCAATGGCAGACTACTTCTCCCAGGTCTTTACACAGGAGTCGTTACTCCCCATAGGATCAGCTCTAGTTGCATCAGGGGAACACGAGATGGATTCCGTTGAAGTCGACCAAGACATCTTCCTCAACTGCCTGATGAAACTAGATGCAGAGAAACCAATGAGTCCTGATAATCTTCATCCAAGATTTCTCAGAGAGCTGTCAGCTCACATAGCCGGCCCTTTGACCACGATCTTCAAGCTATCTCTCCTAAATGGAGTGTTACCGTGTGACTGGAAGGACGCATTGTAACCTCCATCCACAAAGGAGGATCAAGACAAAGCCCTTCAAACCACAGGCCTATTAGTCTCACCACCACTTTGATCAAGACACTGGAAAGAATCATCAAGAAAAGCATCATGGCATATCTAGAAAACAACAACTTGCTATTCAGAGCACAGCACGGCTTCCGGGGGAACCTCTCATGCCTGTCGAATCTCCTCACTGCAAGAGAAAGCTGGGTCAAATCAAGGGACAGCAGAAGACCTGTTGACGTCGTCTTCATAGAATTCAGCAAAGCCTTCGATAAAGTTAATTCCATATTAGTTTTTTTATTTGATATATCACACAGTGAAACAGTATTATTATTATCCAGTAAATAATACTGCTTCACTGTGTGATATATCAAATAAACAAACTAATACGGAATTACTTACTACCACAGTGTCCAAGTATTACACATATATTCGATAAAGTTACTCACAAAAGACTACTCATGAAGTTGGAAAGTCTTAGTATCAAGAGCAGGTTACTAAACTGGCTTAGGGGATTCCTCAAAGATAGAAGACAGAGGGTTAGGATCAACTCGCAACTCTCCTCTTGGACGGCAGTGCGTAGCAGAGTGCCACAAAGCACCGTACTAAGACCTCTCATATTTATTTTGTATATCAATGACATCTCTGCTCGCCGACTCCCCTATGGTGCGACACGCAGATGACTTAAAAATTTGGAGAGAAATTAAGGCCAACAGTGATACGTCCACGTTGCAAGAGGACCTCAACAAATTGTCAGAGTGATCCATAGAATGGATGCTCCCGATCAATGTGGCAAAGTGTGCAAACATGCGCATCGAACACGCAAGCATCAGCTCCTACGAACTAGAGGAGTAACACTGCCATCAGTTCAGACTCATTTGGATTTAGGTGTCATATTTAACCACGATTTAAAAACTACAGCACACTATCGCGCGGTGGCTGAGCGTAGTTTCAGATCCTTATTGGCAATTTGCACAGCCTTTACTAGAATCACCAGAGATATGTTCATCTCCTTGTATACATCTCCGGTGAGGTTAAGACAAGAAAACTATATCCAGATAATCAGTCCTTGTCTTAGAGAGGACTCACATAACCTAGAAAGGGTTCAAAGGAAGGCAACACGCATGATTTTCGACATGACTAACCTATCATACAAGGAAACAACAGATAGTTTAAATCACGTTTCCCTGTCATACCGTAGGCACAGAGGAGATTTAATCACGATATTTAAAATTTTAAATAATGACTACGTAGCCTGCGCGGACCTGATCTATTCTCTCTTTCCCTTCCCATCAGGTCGGAACACTTTAGAGCAGGAGAGTTCAAAAGCCAATAAGAAATCATATTGCTGTTGAGTACTGGTTCTCAAACTCTTAGAAAAGACTCCCACAAGAAGCGGTGTCTGCAAGAAGGGTTTGGACAACCACAGACATTTGCTAGAAAAGTATGGAAATAAACTCCAAGCCTTCTACCCTTAACCAATAAATATGAAATCTGAAATCTTAAAAGTTATTCTGCAGAAACATAAGCCATTATCACCATTCGATGCCAAGAGGTTTTTGAACGTGAAGATTACACAGCAATATGAAGCAAATGAAGTAGAATCGCTTATTTTATTGGACACAAGTGAATCAAACCAGGAAACCTAGGTTATCCTGAGCGTCGCAGAATGTTTGAGGCAGCCTAAGAGGCCTTGTCCCACGTTCTGCAATGCGCCCAAAGTAAATGCTAGCTGGGCAGATTTATCCGAGTGATACGAAATCTTTCTAAAGAACATCTACAACACAAATACTGGACAGAACAAACCCTCATTTGAGCAATAATCAGTGAAAGGCAAAATATTACCACGAAGATAGTATGATTACCCTGGAAACTGCTGTAGTTTTCAGACTAACGCCTTTGTGGTTGTTATGGTAACGTCATTAAAACAAAACCCAAAACCATGAGAATAATAAGAATTTGTAACTTATATTACTAATTGTACGGCATCGTGAACAGGTAAGTTATAATAGTTACGCGTTACAATTTAATAGTACAATTAAGTGCGCTAAGTTCGCTTTGATGTGCAACTACTAAGACCAGCAGTTAGTTTTCGCAATGTATGTTCATTTTTATCATAACCCATATAATTGAAAAATGATTGCTCAGTTATTTGCTGTAATAGTTCGCATGTAGCATTAGTTTTCATTGCAACATACACTCCATACCGTGTGCTTTTTGGATTTTGGCGTATGTGCATATAAGCAAACTGATTCAGCCCAGGTTGAGAACCTAGTGGGAACTCAATAGGTTTTATTAATCCAAACACCCTTTCTCCTTTTTCTATGATGTTCCAATCTTATCACTTCTGTAGGTACGATGATATTCAAATTTTTTATCGACTGTGATACCAGTTTTGTAAATATTAATCCTCCTTGTTCTTGTTTTATGAGACAAAACCAATTTTTCCAAGTGTTGTTTTTTTAGGTTAAATACCCTCCTAATTTCAGAAGCGGAAAATCCTAAAAACACCATTGACTTATCACCCTGGCATTAAAATCGGAATAAGTTGCCAAGTTGGTACGTCATGCTAACTGATATGAATAGTGGAAAACTTCTCATCCAGTAATATTTGCTAATTAAGTTAAGTTCGAGTTATGCAGCCATTTTCTTCAGCTCATAAAGCTGTATTTGTCCCAACCAGCTGTTCTGGTAACACCTCAATATACGGTTTAGCCATTCCTCTAATAATTCTAATGTAATTTCACTTAAGATGTGTTGCACTATGACAAATACAGTGGGTTGTCTCAGTCAGCATAATTTCATGACCTCACCGAATTCAAAATCGGGGTATACTTGACTACGGAGTCACTATATGTTGTGAAGATAGTTCCTCATGTTCTGATATAATTTGGTATTTCTATTCTCTACGTATTAAGTGATTTAAAAAACGCTAGAACACATTTCGAATGTGTTACAATATCTTATTCGTATCCAATCCATTAAAATTGATCCAACTCACCAAATGTGTAAAGCTAATAACGTTTTACTTTTTATACTTGATGTAAAAGTTCATAAAATCTTGCGTTCGAAAGGTACAAAACATACCAACTGTTATGCATCTTCCCCTGAAAGTATTAGTTAATAATGTCAAGTATCTGTACCAACAAGGTGATACTTTCATTGAGAATAAAAATTCACGCTTGGTAACAATGGTTGATTTTCAGTCTGTCGTCACAACACAAGCTTGATATCATAATTTCACTGATTTCAAACACTTCCTTTTCTCAAATAATCATTCCCCATAATAAATTTTGTTCGTCCTGCTTTTTTTCGTATCCCTTTGTTTATTAAAATAATCACACCTACTTTTCATGAACAGGTCTTGTGAAAAACTTAGCTTTTAGTCTCATTCACCCAACAATATTGATATCTGTAGTTATAAAACGATAATCAAAGGACGTTCATGTTTCTATAAATAGTGTAGTGTGGTGTCACACCTGGTTTGCAGTCAGCAGGTCCCGACTTCCAATCTCTCCTTCACCCACTCCATGCTGCTGAGTAGTGTTAACAGCCATCAGATAGTATGTGTAACCTATATAGTACTATGTGAAAGATCTGTTCCGTGTACAACTGAATTCCAGAAGATAAAAACAAAGTTACAACCCAATAATGTAATTAATCGATTTTCCCTGTCTTGAAATCCATCCCACTATTTCACACAGTTGTGATAATAAATAAATTATTGTGCAACCTCCAGTTCCATTTAATACAATTTATTCAGTCGTGTTACCAGTAACGTAATTGCATACAAAATTGTAGGTGGCTAGCGAGCGTTTGACTTAATAGATTTTAACGAATATTATGTTGATTTACCATATCTAGCTTTAAAACACGCACATACAAACGCTGGTGAAGAACTATTTTTATACCATTTGTTCAGCACTTGATATTTTGCACCGTTCAATGTCTTGTTCTTCATGGATGCAAAGTGAACAAACCATAATTTCACATAGTGTAGTTTCCTCAATTAACTCTAGTCGATAAGCCTTACTTGAAGTTCTAAGGTTGTGACAAACGCAAGTGCTTGATTTCCTTGCTGAACTTCTCTAATGTGATAAACTATCATTTTTTTTTAAATAACCGCAGTATGACTTGTGACATAACTTGGACTGTTGTTACTTTTTGTCATTTCTAATTTTGTTATGTTGAATATATCAGAAAGCAGCACTAATCTATTGTATTTCTGACTGTCAATCTTTGAGTACATAACAGTTCCGCACACGATTGTGCAAAAGATAAAATCGCTCCTCTGAATGAATGGAGTATTCCGCAGTTATTCAAATTGTTTCGATATGATTGTCGTGTTTCAGCATGTTACTATTTCCTAATACTCGGCTCATGAGGTGACTGACTTCTGTAGTGACAAATCTTAGTATAACTGATGCATGTTCATCTGCTTACAAACCCACTGATACCAGCTGTACTTTGATCTTTGGTTCCCAAGGTCTGATAGTTATTTTATTTCTCTTTAATTATCTACCAGGATAGCAGTCAGTGTTTGTAAGATCTATGAGCGTATTTGTTCGATGTGGTATAACTTCCATCCCGTTTCAAGTCAAAAGACAGCATTTCGTAAGTCGTATCATTGCCTTTTTCCCACCATTTTCTGTTGTGATCTACTGCATCGTCTAAATCTTATCTAAAGAGGTATTGACATGTTTCTCTTATTGATTTGAATTTTTCAAGGTACATTATGACAGAGAAGGGTTCATTTTCAAGCTGTACAGTCGTATTTGTATTACAGAAAAGGTCATTAAGTGGCACTAAATAATTGCTCAGTCAATATACATATATGTGATAAGAATAACGATAATTAAAATGTTATAAGGGGTAGAGTTGAAGTGGATAAATTACAAAATTATTAAAGATTGTTTTATAAGTGAATTGAAGTCAAAAATGTTTTTAAAATGTCAAGTGTTGTCTAAAAATTTTAAAAAATAAGAGTACGATTACGATAAGAATGAAAATGTAAAGTGAAGTGGAAAGAATTCAAGTGGTAAAATAAAATAAAAACTAGAAAGAACATTTCTATGACCAAGGTAAAGAAAGGGGTTTGACAAAACGTTTGTGAACACATAATTTAGGTTTCTGTTCATGTATAGCTAAAGCTTCGGCTATGCATAAGTGAAGAAAACGTAAACTTTTGGATCGATTCGATTTTGCCATGTAGATAACTTTGAAAGATGAATCACGTGGGGCTAAATGACCTGACTCTAATAGGTGATCACAGATAGACGACTTCACAGTTCTACGTTCGCCTTTCATTAACCAGACTGGATAGTGTTGAGCTACACGTTTTCGGAGATTACGCTTACAACGTCCAATATAAACAGCTCCACAAGAGCAGGTAAAAGAGTAAATACACATGGATGTGGACAAAAGCGGTAATCTATCCTTGACGCATTGTCTAATCATATTTCGGCTGGTAAAAACTAGTTGTAAGTCAGCTGCAGGAAAAGTACGTTTAATACATTTACATAAACGATTTTTAATCAATTCCGAAATGGTGTCACCTTTGAATGCCAGACTCATAAACAGTTTCTTTTTTGGCACTGTAATTTGTCTGGGAGCGTGTTCTTTCTTGATGTTACGTTCGATAAACCTTGTAGGATAACCATTATTAAGGAGATTTGATCGAAGCTTATCTAGTTCACTATCGATTGTCTCTGCAGAGCAGATTTTACGAATTCTGGAGCATAAGGAATGAATAAGATTTCTCTTTCACCCTAACGGTACCCAACTGTTGAAGTTAGTGTACTGCCCAGTGAATGTTGGCTTTCGGTAAATCGACCTTAGCAACGTACCATTCTCACTTCTATCTAGCTTTACATCAAGGAAGTGAAATGAGGAATTCGACTCTTCTTCGACCGTGAAAAGCAAAGATGGATGAGAACCATTAAATATTTTTGATTTCAATTCACTTATAAAACAATCTTTAATAATTTTGTAATTTATCCACTTCAACTCTACCCCTTATAACATTTTAATTATCGTTATTCTTATCGCATATATGTATATTGACTGAGCAATTATTTCGTGCCACTTAATGACCTTTTCTGTAATACAAATACGACTGTACAGCTTGAAAATGAAGTCGTTGAAAAGAAATTTCTTCGCTGAACAAAAACTGTGTTTTTACTTATGAATAAATGGGTATTTTTCGTGATAGAGAAGGGTGTTGGAAGGTCATGTAGTACGGTGACCAAATCACCCAGCTCTGTTTGTTCAGCTCAAAATGGTTTTGACAACAGTAACATCTCTGTTATGAGTATAATCTCCTTAGTTTTTGTGACCCCGCTGAGTAATGGCGATTTTCCTTTATCTATACAGATTTTTAGATAATATGACTATAAATGAAGTTTGGCGTATTTGAATTATACTTTATTTATATATTCACTCGACGCCTCAATGTTTCCTATGTGTCTGCTTTTGCGTAAAATCATTCTGGTGTCCTCCAGTTTGTAGAAAAATTTGTAGACCTTGTGTTAGGCAGTCGTGTTAATATAGTCATTTTAAATGCCCTATAATATGAAATGTATGTGATTGTTACTCGAGCTTTAGGACATCCATGAATGATTGCACTATCTTCAATTCTCAGTCTGCTCTATTGTCAGCATGCCTGAAGAAAACTATTACTTTAGCACCCATCAATCTGTCTTCACAACACAAAACTGTATGTAAATTTATCAGTCCGAGTTGTCACGTTTCAGAAAAGCGCACACAGTATATGAAGATTTATGGAATTGTGCGATAAAGATTTGCATTTTTAAAATTGGAAAGACGACAAGAAATGAGAACATTTGCGCCACTTGGAACAACTATTGGTTTCTAGAGTCTCGAACCACGTGTGTATCAGATTAAGAGTCAAAGAGTTAGTGAATTCGCGCCATATTTT